GAATTGGATTTGAGAGAATTGAAATTAAAAACAAACAATAACATGCAATTTAAAAATTCAGAATTAAAAAGAACAATTGAAAAAGATGATGATTGATTAAAGAATTAAAACAAGCGTAGTTAATGTTTCGACTTCCCCCAATATCCTCTTTATGTTATGAATTAAACCGTCAAGAACCTTTTCTTAATATAATGCCAATCAATTCTATCTAAGTTAATTAGGGCTCAATTACTTGTTACCCTAAATCTATGTGATCTTGAAAGAACTCTAGTTCCCCGATTATTCCCCAAGAAAACATGCATTAAGATCAAAATTTTAAAGATTGCACAATTACCCTATGTCTATCCCTAGATCACAAAGATTATGATAAATTTACCAAGTCAGGGTTCATGAACCAACATCCCTATTGTCATACAATTTCCCTAAATCAATCTATAAGAAGCAAACTCATAGAAAGCATTAAAGACAGATAAATTTATTCAAATATAAAAAGAAAAGAATTCAGAGAACCGTAAGCCTCCGTTGGTGTGATGTTGACTTGGTTCCTCAGTGTTCCAATGCTCCACAACAGGATTCCTGCTTCAAGTCTCTGTGTAATTCTCTGGATTGGTTAATTGGTTTTCTTTCCTTGACCCTCAGCTCCCTATTTATAACCATTGAAGCCATATCTTTTTAATTCTCCATCCAATCTTCCCATGAATCTCTATCCATTAATAAATCAAGATTGATTTATTTCCACTTTTATTCAGAATATTACAAATCTGTATCAATTAGCAAATAAAATCAAATCTTGGGCTGATTGGGTTTGTATTTGGGCTCAAGCACGCTACAGGGAGCTTGAGCGCGCTCCTGTGTATAATTTGCTTGAATTAGTCTGCCCACACGTGCTCGAGCGGCCATTTGGGCGCTTGAGCGTGCTCCTCGATGGTGTAATCTTGGGCGCTTAAGCGTGCTGTTGGGCGCTTGAGCGCCCTGGATTGCTCAATTTAGCTGATTTTCCTGCCTGGACGCGCTCGAGCGTCCATTCTGTGCGCTGGAGCGTGCTTTTCTGGCCTTGACTTGTATTATTTTGGCTTCCTTTGATCCATATTGATTTGCAACTCTTTGTAATGATTTCTTCGTCACTTCTTAGCACCAATAAGTGTGGTTTTACCTTCAAAATGCAAAGAAAATCAAAATGTTAGCTCAAATTCCTATCTTATGACTTATATGTTGTAAAACCTTGAATTCCATGCAATCTACTACATATTTCTTGTATAATTTATCCTAAAAACATGGTAAACCAAAGGTTTATCAAACATTCCCAGATTTGAATATTGAAGTCGTCAGCAATCAATCAGTATAACTAAGGGAATAGGTAGTAGGAATCCTAAATAGCATGGAATTTAACAGGAAGGACTCAACAGATACATGATTAAAGAGCATTCAGACTCTAAAAATTAATGCATCAATCAATTAAGTTTACAGTTCATTAGAAAAGAATTTCTCAAGATCAAGGATAAGGGGGAATTCCTGATGCACCCCCTCACTGGAATTTTAATTCACTCACGCTCAACTATTTAGAGGGTTGGTGTTTCACTCATATCCCACTGAATTAGACTACCATAGGCTTGCTCATATTCTTGCTCTCTACAGTCATAGTGAAATATTCAATAGATCAAGAGGTCTTCATTCAGGTTGTAACTTGGCCTGGCTGAAGGGTAAGGAAATTTTGGAGAAAGGCTCCAAGATTAAAATCCAGATTCAAAGAGGAATGGATGTAATTGTTTACAATTTGTAAACAACTTTCTTTTTCTTGTCGTTTGTTCCTCTTCACTTCTTTCTTTCCTTGAACTTTTCTCTTATTTGTCGTTCTCTTTTCGCAGAATAAGTTTCTTTCTTTTGTTTCACTTATTTCTTTTTCTTCTTTTTGAGTAACTTTCCCTTTTCCTTGCTTGTTTCTTCTTCCTTCCAACCAACCTTACTTCCTTCCAACCAACCTTACTTCCTTGGCTTTTGCCTTTCTTCCGCGTACTCCGATACATCACAATTTATATTCACAATTAACACCTGTTCCTCAATTCAAATATGAAATTTAATCTTAATTAAGGTGAGGATTGTATGGAAAGTGGCTTATTCATCTTTATAGATTTTTCAAAGAATAAACAGGCCTAGGCTCAAAAGGGTTTAACTAAGGAATGTTAGCAATGGTTGGCTATTTGGCCATCTAGCTTAAAGAAAGAACATGCCTCAATCAAATCTATAAAAAAAATCACATACCAATTCAAGCAAAAAAAAAAAGCAAGTTCTAGAGTCTTTCATACAGTGGGATGCACACTCAATAAAAATTTTCTGTATAGGCTCAAAACCTCATGGCTATGAATGCACAGTAATTCCCCTAGTCCTTATCTTAAAGAATTCATCTCTAAAGAAAGTATTCAATAAATCATGAAAATCATACATTGATGCTCATTATGAAAAATTCAAGTGAAGTCATCATCATGCTCTAAATAAATTTCTGATTAAATTTCCTACCAATATTCCATTTAAGCACTGAGTAAAAAAAAAATTAAAATTTTCACAAAAACAATGGCCTGGGGTTTTTCAAAACAACTAAATAATAAAAAATCAACTCAAAAAGAATTAAGCTAAAGAAAAGGAGAAAGGATTTGAGATAATTCCCTGTTTTAGCCAGATATTCTGTGTATGCTCATGAAGTTCCTTTGGATTACTCAATTGTACTTTGATGAATTACGCGTTTCCCATTCCCAGATTTAAATGTTGCCGTCCTCAGCAACAGATTTAAATCTAAAAAGAAAATACGTCGAGAAATAAAACAACTAGTTGCTCTCTCTTGTTGTTTGTTCCCTTTTCTTCACCTGTAAAATTCACTCAATGACAGTCATTAGTCTCAACACCTTCTCCTATATTTTTGTATTTTTCTCTTTACTTAATTCAAAGTAAAAATAAATAAAATAATGAAATTAAAATAAAACAGTAAAGTGTGGGTTTGCCTACCCATTAGGCTTGTTTAACGTCACGTGCCTGACGTACCTGATCTACTTTCATGGTGGCTCAAAGCATGATCTTGGTGATGACCAAGCTCCATCATTCAGAAATTGTGTCCTACCATAGTGCTTTTGTGCATATAAGTGAGATACAGTAGCCTCAAGAACTTTGAATTTGGTATTTATGTGCTTTCCCTTGCTCCGGGGCTTCTCCATCTTAACTTTTGGCTTACTTTCTTGAGAAGACTCCTCATTGTGTTCTTCTTCACCTTTCTTTTCACCAATATAGTAAACTTGATCTTCCAGTTGAGCTTCAGGTGGAGAATTTCTTTTATCAAAGAACTTGAATATAGCCTGCTCTCCGTCCACTCGTAAGATCAACTCACCTTTAAGTACATCTATCAACGCTCCTGAAGTTGCCAAGAAGGGTCTTCTAAAAAGCATAGGAATAGTGGCATCTTCCTCTATATCAAGGATGACAAAATCAACAGGGATGATGAATTTGTCTACCTTTACTAGTCTATCCTCAATGATGCCATAAGCTTGCTTTGAAGAGCGGTTAGCCAGTTGCACTACTGTTGTTGTGGGCTTCACTTCAGTAATCCCCAGCTTCTTCATCGTGGAGAGTGGCATGACATTGATGCTAGCTCCAAGATCACATAAAACGTTGTCCACTTCCACTTTTACTATAGTGCACGGAATGCTGAAGCTCCCTAAATCCTTGACTTTAGTAGGTAACTTCTTTTAGTTGATAACATTACATTCCTCTATCAGATTTATCGTCTCACATTCCTGCAACTTACGCTTCCTTGATAGTAGATCCTTCATGAACCTTGCATAGTTGGGCATGTTCTCTAAAGCTTCGGTAAAAGGAATGTTGATCTGCAGCCTCTTGAATATGTTTAGAAACTTTGAATACTGCTGCTTCTGAATCTCTTTCTTTAATCTCTGAGGATAGGGGATGCGAGCATAGGGGAGAGATCTAAAGGGTTGTCTTGCCTTTCTAAAGCTTTCTTCTTCTCCTACTTAAATAATTTCCTTTCCACTTTTTCAGGATTTCTCTTGTCAACTTCAAGAGTATCCTTTGCCTTTTCTTTCTTCTCTTCTTCAACTGATGCTTCCATATTTCTCTTCTTTTCTTCGGGTTGCTTCTCTATAGGTTGAATCACTGTCCCACTTCTTGTGATAATTGCATTGCAGTGCCCTCTAGGATTAATGACAGTGTCTCCTGGGAAGGTACCCTTAGTTCTCTCAGCAAATTGCCTTGACAACTGGCCAATCTGAGTTTCTAGATTTCGGAAAGAAGCTTTTTGGTTTCGGATTGCTGATCTAGTCTCTTGCATGAAGGCAGATGTGTCCTCTCTGAAAGCATTTGCACCTTGTATATAATTAGAAGTGGTCTTGCATAGTTGTGCAAAAGCTTTCTCCCACTCAGAAGTGTTACTTTGTTGTGGGGTATGTGGTTGCACTGGAAGGGGAGGATTGAGCTAATGGTTGGATTTGTAACTCAACCCCGGATGTTGATTCTGATTCTTCCACCCTTGATTTTAGTCATTCCCATACTGGTTCCTCCCTGGATCATTCAGGTTCTTCTTATTATACTAGAGTCCGTTTACTTCAGCAGTTTCAGGTGCTCTCATGAATTCACACTCTTCAGTTGCATGAGTACCTGCACAAATACCACAAGTAATTTGAGAATTATTAACAGAAGAAACTTGAGAATTATCGAATTGCTTTGTAACAGCATCTAATTGTGCTTGTTGTTTCTTATTTAATTGCAATATTTGTTCATTCTGGGCCAATATTGCATCATAGCCATCAAGCTTCATGATCTCTGCTCTCCTGCTTGGGACTGGAGCATTATCAAACTCTTGAGAAGCTAGAGATTCCAGCAATTCCAGCGCTTCCTCTGGAGTTTTTGTTTTCAGTGATCCTCCTGCAGCAGCATTCACCAAGGTTCTTGTGCTCGAGGTCATTCCTTGGAAGAAGATACGTCCTTTCTCCCAAGCTTCCATTCCATGTTGGGGACACTTTCGGAGCAATCCTTTGAATCTTTCCCATACCTCGTAATAGGATTCACTTTCTTTTTGTTTAAAAGCAGTGATTTCTGCTTTGAGCCTTGCCAACTTTGAGGCGGAGAAGAATCTAGCCAAGAACTTTGTAGCCAAATCATCCAGTTGGTGATGCTTCCTTGATGCAGTTGATGGGACGAGATTTCGTTCCCATCTAAGCCTATTTTGATGGAAAAATACCACTCGTTCCCTCATCTGATGAGCAACTTTAGCACTAAAAACACAGTGGGGAACGAATGATGACGTAATCTTTTGAAAAATAGATAAAGGGAAAAAAATTTGGAACATTAAATACATCTGCTTCACTTACTCAATCTCTCTGACCACTTTTCAGGAAATGTTGAAAAGAAGTTTCCAATTAAGCACAAGTGGAGCAGCAATAAAGCAAGGAAAAACATGCACAGCAGGGAATAAACAGTTTCTATTGGCTAAGAGGAAAGCAAGGCATGAGGAAGATCAGAAGGAAAGACTAATCTCAACAATAACTGTCCCATCCAGCCACTTGCGCCCCTCAAAATACTTTTCACACTGCCCCTTTCATGCAGTCAAGAAAACAACTCCAAGAGAATTACCCACTTTGCCATTCACTCTTTTGCCTATAAATAGGACGTTCCAACATGAAGAAAATCATCCAATTCCTTAAGAAGAGATCACTTAGTTTATTTTGTAATTTTTAGTTGTATAGTTTTAACTTTAGTTAAGTGACAACACTTCTTCTTCATTCTGTATCACCCACTTGAGACTCCTCACGAGCAGAAACCATATTTTTCACTTTTCATTTTGTGTAATCAATTTGTTTTCATTTAAATACAAGTTTTATTTTTCTCCTTTCCATTCATTATCTCTGAACTGAATCTCGGGTCTATGGGACTTCAGTTTGGAATAATTATGTTTAAACTAATAGCCATGTGCTAAACTATCTGTGGAACGGAAAAATTGCAAAGTTCTTAAAGAATTATTTTTAAAACTCTTGTATTACATCTTTTGTGATTCTCTGGTTAAGTGAGCTATATTCAATGTGTATCAATGGAAATTGAACACATACTGAGAAAGAAACTTCCATAAGGAAGGGATCTCAGACAGCTTAACTAGAGGGGAAGGCAGTCTTGTGGAAACAAGACTGCTAGTTGCCTTAGGAATAAGGAACCACCTCATTCACTTGAAGGTCATGTACCCAGTACCTGTTGGAGTCAAGAGAGCCATAGGAATATGGAAACTTGTGAGCCATTTAGTCCATGAGCTGAGGAATCAGAGTTGGCAGTGAAGAGACTGGAACAAATACAAAAGTGTTAAGTCTTGAGTAGAGAAAATAACTATTTATGAATGGAGCAGTGGATCTGTTTCGTCTGTTATTACTGTTTTTAAAACCATCCATACTGTTGTCTCTTAATTATTGTTATTACTTTTATTATTCCTTGCTTTATTCAATCTTGTATCTACAAAACTCCAATGAAAATTGTCGTACCTTTTTTTATGAAGAAGGATTTTATATATAACGACGCGAGGAGCTGTTTACTGTCAGATTGCACCTACTTTCTTGAGGAACGTTGTCAAGACAGTAGGAAACGTTTGACCAAACAGGTCATTTACTAACTTATCTTTTCATTTTCATTCTTTGTAAAATAGTATAAGGCATTAATTATAGTTTTATCCTCGTGGGAACGATAATCTGGGCATTAATACTCCCATTTATTACTTGATGTGTGCACTTGCGCACTTGGGCTGAAACTAAGAGAGCAATTGTGTTTTCTCTTAACGAACTGAGGAACGTTCTACAACATATATATTTTCCACCCAACAAGCTTTTGACCCAACAAGTTTCTAGCGCTGTTGCCGGGGATAGATACACTAAATTTTGTCCTTATTACTATTTTAAGTACATACATACTATGTATATTTCATTTTATTATTTTTATCACATTCTGATGATACATACTATCTGTTTTATGATTTATGAGTGAAGAGTCTGAAATAGATTCTCACCACTCCATTGAAATACCTGAGTTCTTCTTTGATCCTGAGGCAGAACATACTTTACATAGAAGAAGAAGACATCTCAGGGAAAATATTTTTGAAAACATGGCTGATCATAACAATAACAATGATGGAATCCCTCCTGAACAGAACTTTAGAGCTTTGGCTGCTCCTTTCAGGCACAGACCAGAAATGGGAGTAATCCTCCCTTCTATGGCTCCCAATTTTGAATTAAAACCCATCATGTTCCACATGATAAGGGAAGCTGGAGTCTTTCATGGACTCCCTGCAGAAGATCCTTACACACACCTCACAAACTTTCAAGACATCCGTGATAACTTCAAAGCTCAAGGTGTGACAGAGGAAAGTATGAGAATTAGGTTGTTCCATCATTCCCTAGGCTCAAAAGCAAAAACATGGATGAAAACTCTCACCCCTGGATCCATACACTCCTGAGAAGAACTCTCTAACAAGTTCATAGAAAGGTTTCTCCCTATGTCTCGTCAAGCTGATGTTAGGGCAAAACTCTCTAACTTTAGAATGTTTTATGGAGAAAATCTTTATGAAGCTTGGGAGAGATACAAGGACATCATCATAAAATTTCCAAACAATAGGGTGGAGAGTTGGGGAGTTTTACAATCTTTCTATAAAGGCATAGATCATACTTCTCAATCACATTTAGACTTTGCTGCATGAGGATATTTTTTTACAGGAACCCTTGAATCCAGGTATGAAATCATAGAAGGCACTGCAGATATATGTCTCCAATGGCCACTGGAACGGATGAGCTTAGTAAGGAAGCCAGGCATGCTAGAATTAAACAATTAAACTTCCAAGGAAGCCCAGCTAGCCTCACTCCTGAATGAGGTGAAGAATCTGAAAGCTACTCAAAAACAACCATGAGTGGAAGTCTTACAACTCACAGCAACTGAGAGTGAACCATGCTCAGCCTGTGGTGACCTTCATGATTCAATAGACTGTCCATCTACTGCCTTGGGGTGTTATGCAGAAAATTTTGGGAATAGAAACTTCACCCAGGCCAGAGACAATCAGAATGCGGGAAGCAACAACAATCAAAACCCTGGAGGAACCACAATGAAGGATCAGAACCATAATCCACAATGGAGACCACCCATGAACCAGAGACCATACAACAACCAGCAGCAGCAGTATCAACAAGGCAGAAGCAGTGGAAATGGAGCATATGAACCACAAAGAAAAACTAATTATGCTCCGTTCCTTAGAGAAGACCAACACATCAATACCCTTGAAAGCTATGTCAAAGAATATGTCACCAGGAACGATGTTATGGTCAAAAATATTGAATCCCACCTGTAAAGCCCGTTGTACACCGGTATTGTTAACATTAACTATGGTATTAAGTGTAGTTACAATCACAGGATTCATTTATAAAAATGCGAGTGAACTTTTTTCGTTATTACGCGAGTATTTAAAACAATAAAAAGCGTAATAATTACAAGCTGTGACCGTAACTGTAAACTCTTTGATGAATATTTATTTAGACTACTTTTATAACTTATTTTACTTACTACAAGTCACTAAGGGGTTCCCATAAACCCACTTAGTATATTTCTCACTTTTACATTTCCTACCTATCCAAACATGGTTCGGTCATTAATTTTCTACGGATAAACCGCATTCTACAAGCCTCCCATCTTTTGATATGTTATTCTAAACTCAATTACCTTTCTAGGAAGCTATCACACGAGTTATTTAGAGCTCGTTTGCTCCGGATATCTCCATTTGAAGTTTGACAAGCAAAACTGCCAACCAACCCCAAAACAGCACCAAACATCCCTCACTCTACGAATTACTGCAGAAAATCCACTAAACTAATTGCTCTCAAACTTGTGTACAACAAACAAGACACCTCAAGCTTCAATTTTAAATATCATACACTTAATTTTTCTAAGAAACGAAGCGAGAATAAATTTCCCAAAACTGGTCCAGAACTGCCACATGTGCAGTAAGCAAATGGGCAGTCTGCGTTTACAGCAACCTACAGGACGGCACTCAACCCATAATTTTACCAAATTTTAACACAAGATAGAGGACATGTTAAACTTCAAAATGGCATATGGCACGTCCCTATCGAACCTCTTTGGAGGGAGATATGCTCTCCCAAAGTTTGCCTAAATTATGCCAATTTCTAAAAAATTTGCCAGAGTTTCCTTTGATTTTACAAAAATCTCCAAATTTGCCAATGTGTTCTAAGTCCTCAAATGTACCTAATAATCATTGGGTGGCACACACAAGAACTAACAATGCCTTGGGGCACTTACAACCATCACAGTTTATAGTTATTACACAATTCGTATCACATTGCTTCCTTTATTAATACTTAACACATTTCAATCATCAATGTTCATTTGCATGCATTTTCTAATCATACACATAATCATAATCCTGAAATAGGCCTAAGGCCCTTCCATCCTATTACATATATTTCATTGTTACATCAACTCATGTATAATTTACAAGTCTTCAAATGACATATTACAATTACAACTTTAATCTTCAAATAATACATGATAAAAAACCTCAAAATGACATAATCCAAATACAACTAGACTTAGGCAAAAATGACATGAACAAATATGACCATAAATCTCATCCTAGATACCATATGCAATGTTCATGTCCTAAGTCTAGCCTAGGCCCAGTGGCCATCAAAATGCAAAATATAAAATCCTCCAATGACTCGTCCTACGGGCTTCTTGCCCGCCGCTCCTGCACCACTGCTACCTCCTGAAATAAAGCCCCCAAGATGGGGTGAGATATACGAATATATCTCAGTAACTCAAAGGTTCTGGAGAAAACTCTGCCCAATGGCTCACTTCGATGCATATAAATAATATAAATTAACATCTTGAAAAACGAGATATAGCAAGGGATTTAGAGAAACTGGGGAACATAGAGATACAAAATACGACGAAGCTGGAATGGTAGCTACCAATACCACGCAACGTCCTGCCTAATGGCTCGGCATATAAGCCTACTGGTCTCATCCAAGGCGTGTTCCAAGAACATCCAACCAAGGTCCCCCTCCCATCCATATACACCCGAGACTTCCTAGTGTTCTCATATCCGGATCACACACCACGACCCTAGGTCAACTGGAACTCCCTCTCGGAGACCTATCCAGTGGAAGTCTGAAACGCCCGAAGGCAAACTGTCTACTGCCAGAGACTTGGTACATCTAGTGTACCACTAACATACATAATAAATGCATGATCATGTTATTCTACATTACTTACATACACTTCCTACCATCACCCTCAACGGGCATGGTGAAACACACAAGGGGATCAAGCCCCAGTGCCAAGAGGTTACCTTAATAAGCCTATCCACTTAGCTCCAAAGCAGTGTATTTTCCGAGCTCGTTACTCACAGAAATGCCTACACAAGGGACATTACCAATCACTTAAAACTCATACGAAAACATGCAAGTTAACAATTATACAAGCATGATTCCAATCACTTACCTCAATCCCACTTGGTCCAGACCAAGGACAATCCACCAACTCACAGTTCAGGGTTCAAATCAATGTATGACAACCTACAACAACCATGTACGAATCATCAGTACACGGCAATTCTATCAGAACACGAAAAACGTCAGAAACCTCACCTACACAAGGTAGGTTCGGCCTACATAGTCTTATTTTACATTTTATTTTTCTAAATTTTCTTTCTCATTTTCTTAGGCATCCTTAGGTCACCAAAAGGCCATATCAAGTGCCACTTTTTATTTTTCGTCATTAAAACGTCGTTTTGCCTAATATTTTGCTCTAGGCCCAATTAACCACTCAACACTACCAATTATTTTTCCATTGGTTTTCCAACCATTCAACCACCACACAACATATCATCCAACTAATTTTTCAACATAATTTCCTCTCTCTCTTTTTTCCTTAATGGCCGAAATTCAACATAGCCCTCACCAAGGGTGATTCATTCAAAATAAACTCTTACATACCTCATACAATCCCATTTTAACACCATACAACTATACAACAATCCAATTATACAATCCTATCACAATTTCATAACATAAAGTCATGGCACCATCAAATTTTCCTAAGTTAAAAATCATATTTTCACCAATAATTTTCATTGCTTTTATAGCTCTAACACATCATTCTAAGACATTATCATCTAATAAACATTTTTCATTTGAGCTCTCTCACAACACAAATCAACAAAAGCCCCTTGAGGGTTCATGAAAATAAATCATCAAATTAATTCGTGAGAGGTATTGAAACTTACCCACAATTACGTCACAAAGCTCCTCCTAAAACTCCGCAAGCAATGGCTTAAGAAATCAACCCCAAAATCACAAAACTTCCAAGAAATTTGTGGCTGACTTTATCCATTTTCTCACAATTGAGAGGGTTTCAAGGGAAACTAATCGATGGAACGGGTTCGGGTGATGATTTCCATCGAATTTCAAGACAAGAATCGTCTGATTCGGTTAAGAATCCATGAAGTTAAGGGAAGAAGAAGATTTGAACAAAAATGGTGTAGGGAGAGGGGAGGTCCACGGTTTACATGAGGGAAGGAGAGAGAGAGGATAATGAACAGTGTCCTAAGCTTATGTGTCTTAAGTGTTTTAAGTTGGGTGGGTCCCACCGCCACCACACGCGATTTAAACTAACTTGAATTTTCCCTCCAATTCCACTAAACGTCCATAAATTCACAACCTATTTAGAAACTCTAATTTTTAACATTAACCATTGTCCTTTAATTACCCTTGATCAGATGAATTCGGAGTTTTTCGGTCGTTCGAAGGAAATGTTGTTTTAAGCTGTTGCGCGCGTCGTTGGCACGTTTCCCCAAACTTACTTATTTCCGTCAAATTTTATCAGAAATCATATTCGCTAGTTCTATAAACCATTTATAACTTATATTCAAAACCTAGAGCTCAAAACTCAATCGGCACGTTTTACGGTGCAATCGTAGCGCAATATTTTTTCCCGATAAAAACACTATTCACTGAATTTTCTGAAACTTGCCTATCCATTCAATTTTTCGTTTTGAATCCATTTCCAGGGTTATTTTTATCATCTGAGACCTTCTACTCAATTTCCTTCCTAGGGTTGCGTGCATGGCTAATTTATCGTTTTACCCTTTCTTTGTATTTTGGCCTAATTTTCAGGATTTTCACTAATCCTTCCCTTTAATTCTCATTTAATATATTTTAATATATAATTTAGAATTGCGAGGTGTTATACCACCTGGGACAGATAGCTACTAGCCTCAACATCAAGACACCAGAACATTTGCCAGGGGATACTAACGTCCCCTCTAAATCTCAACCAGAACCCTCCAAGGTTGTCACACTAAGAAGTGGGAGAGTTACTACACAAACTGCAACAGCTCCCAAGACCTCAACCATAGACACCAGGGAGGAACGTGACAAACCACCTGAAGCATTTCCAAAAGCACCACAACAAGCAGTTGTCGAGCAAAACCTAGAGCTTGATGAAGAAGTTGAAGCTGAGGAAACCCCAGTGGACAGAAGCAGAACAAGCAGTCCACCACAAACCAAGCAAGTACCAGTCAAAATTCTGGTCCCCCAAAGAACAAGGAAGCAACAAGATGATAAGCAGTTTGGAAAATTTCTAGATATTCTAAAACAACTCCACATCAATATACCTCTGGTGGATGCACTGGAACAAATGCCCAAGTATGTCAAATTCATGAAAGATGTTCTCTCCAGAAAAATAGGCATAACAGAATATGAAACCGTGAAAATGACACAAAAAAGCTGCCAATACTTGGGCAAACTTCCACCAAAATTACAAGATCCAGGAAGCTTTACCATTTCTTGTGTGATAGGAAACACTTATCAAGGCAAAGCCTTGTGTGACTTAGGGGCAAGCATCAATCTCATGCCATCATCAATTTTCAGACAATTAGCCACAGGACCAGCAAAACCAACCACGGTAACCTTACAAATGTTAGACAGATCCATTGTCAAACCAGAGGGAAAGGTGGAAGACCTACTAGTCAAAGTAGATAAATTCATCTTTCCCGCTGACTTCATCATTTTGGACTATGAAGTTGATACTGACGTTCCCATCATCCTGGGACGTCCATTCCTAGCAACTAGAGGAGTGGTCATCAATGTGCAAAAAGGGGGAACTCACAATGAGAGTACATGATGATGAAGTTAAATTTAATGTCGTTAAGGCAATGAAATTTCATGATGAGGATGAAGATCTGGAAGAATGCTCTGCAATCACTCTAGCAGATAACCAGATCAACATAAACCCAGAAGTCAAAGAAATGGAAGAATGTTTGCAAAAAGAGGAACAAAATTGTTACCTGCATGAAAGGAAACCTGAACCTCTGCAGAGAACTGAAAAAGAAAAGTAAGTCAAAAAACCATCTTTAGAACAACCTCCTGACTTGGAACTAAAACCTCTTCCCCAGAACTTGAAGTATGCATACCTAGGAAACAATGACACCCTTCCTGTCATCATCTCCCCACTTCTCACCAAGGAACAAGAAGAACTACTAATTAGCAAGCTGAAAAAATATCAAGGAGCTATTGGATGGACCATAGAAGACCTTAAAGGTATTAGTCCTTCTTTCTGTATGCATAAAATATTATTGACTGACCCTAACAGCTTTTCAGTAGAACACCAAAGGAGATTGAATCCAATCATGAAGGAAGTGGTTAGAAAAGAAGTGATTAAGTGGTTGGATGCAGGGATCATATATCCCATCTCATATAGCAGTTGGATAAGTCATGTCTAGTGTGTTCCCAAAAATGGGGGCATAACCGTAGAATTAAATGCAAAAAATGAACTGATCACCGTCAGGAAAGTTACGTGATGGAGAATTTGCCAGGACTACAGAAAGCTCAATAATTCTACCAGAAAGGACCACTTCCTACTGCCCTTTACAGATCAGATGTTAGACTACCTAGCAGGTAAGGAATACTTCTATTTTCTTGATGGATATTCTGGATATAACCAAATTGCTTTAGCACCAGAGGATCAACACAAAACCACCTTCACTTGTCCCTACGGAGCGTTTGCTTTCAGAAGAATGTATTTTGGATTGTGCAATGCACCAGCAACGTTCCAAAGGTGTATCTTCTCTATTTTTTCTGATTTAATAGGTGAAGGAGTGGAAGTCTTCATGGACGACTTCTCAGTTTTGGGAACGTCGTATGATCACTGTCTAATGAACCTAGAAGAAGTTCTTCAAAAATGTCTCTCTTCTAAACTTGTTCTTTACTGGGAAAAATGCCACTTCTTGGTAAAAGAAGGAATTTTCTTGGGACATAAAATTTCCAGGAACGGATTGGAAGTAGACCAAGCCGAAGTAGAAGCAATAGCACAAATGCCACCCCCTGTCAGTGTTAAAACTCTTAGATCATTTCTTGGGCATGCAGGTTTCTACCGAAGGTTCATTAAAGACTTCTCCAAGATACCTAGGTTTCTATGCCATCTGTTGGGAAAAGATGTGAAATTTGAGTTCAATCCTGATTGCATAAAAGCCTTTGAAACAGTGAAAAGCAAATTGGTTACTACGCCTGTTATCCAACCCCCGGACTGGAACCTACCCTTTAAATTAATGTGTTATGCAAGTAACCAGGCTATTGGGGTAGTTCTGGGCCAGAGGAAGGATAAACTCTTTCATAGCATATACTATGCCATTAAAACCTTAAATGAAGCTCAGGTAAACTATACAGTCACTGAAAAAAAAACTATTGGCTATAGTATATGCATGCGAAAAGTTCAGGCCATATATTCTGGGATCCAAAGTCATTATTCATACTGATCATGCAGCTCTCAGATACTTGTTTTCCAAGAAAGAAGCAAAACGACGTTTGATAAGATGGATTTTGCTGTTACAAGAATTCAACCTAGAAATCAAAGAAAGGAAAGGATGTGAAAATCAAATTGCTGATCACCTGTCCAGATGGGAACACATTGAAGTTGGGCTACCTATCAAGGAGACGTTCCTGACGAACAATTGTTTGTTATCAATAACAAAGAAGTTGACGTTCCTGGGTTTGCTGATATAGCTAACTTCCTTGCAGCAGGACTAGAACCTTATGAAGCAAACAGGATGCAGAAAAAGAAATTTTATCATGATTGCAGGAGCTATCTCTAGGATGAAACTTTATTACTCAAAAGATGTGCAGACCAAGTGATAAGAAGGTGTTTCCCGGAAGAAGAGCAACCCCAAATCCTTTTTCACTGTCATTCATCCCCATATGAAGGCCATTTGGGCGGAATCAGAACAGCTTCCAAGATACTTCAATCAGGTTTTTATTGGCCATCCCTTTTTAAAGATGCTCTTCAATATGCTAAACAATGTGATAAATGTCAAAGGGAGGGTAACTTAACAAGACAGAATGAAATGCCTCTTAATCCCATATTAGAAGTTGAATTGTTTGATGTATGGGGCATAGATTTCATGGGGCCTTTTCCCCCTTCTTGTGGGAACAAATTCATATTAATAACTGTTGACTATGTAAGCAAGTGGGTGGAGGCTATTGTTTTACCCACTAATGCTGCCAAGGTGGTTATAAAATTCTTAAAGAAAACCATCTTGACAAGATATGGGACCCCCCGCTGTATCATCAGTGACGGTGGGAAACATTTCATTAACCGCCAATTTGAGAGATTGTTGGAAAAATATGGAGTCAAACATAAAGTTGCAACTCCATATACCCATAAACCAGCAGACTTATCGAAGTCTCTAACCGAGAGGTTAAGAGGATTCTAGAGAAGGTTGTTAACCCTTCTCGAAAAGACTGGTCTCTCAAATTAGATGAGGCATTATGGGCTTACAGAACAGCCTACAGAAAACCTTACAGAACACCCTTAGGATATTCCCCTTATAGATTGATATTTGGCAAAGCATGCCACCTCCCTCTAGAGTTAGAACATAAAGCATATTGGGCAGTTTATGCTCTCAACATAGATGAGAAGGCAGCAGGGGAAAAGAGAATGCTACAGCTTGAAGAACTGGAAGAATTCAGAGGAAACACAAATGAAAATCACAATCTGTACAAAGAAAAGATGAAAAGTGGTATGACAAAAAAATTAGGAGCAGAGAGCTCAAGGTTGGTCAGAAAGTGTTACTATTCAATTACAGGCTCCGATTGTTCCCAGGAAAGTTCAAATCAAGATGGACTGGGTCATATCAAATTGTAACTGATGCAGGAAATGGAGCTTTTGAAATTCAGGGAACTGAACATTGTTGTTCTTTCAAAGTTAATGGGCACATACTAAAGTTATATTCTGATGAATCATTCAGTGAAAAAGAGGAAAGTATCTCTCTTTCTGATTCTAACTGAGAGGTTAGTAACATGTCTAACTAAAGACATTAAACTAAGCGCTGACTGGGAGGTAACCCAGTGGATACCTTTTCCCTTTAAAAAAGAGCAAAGTTTTGGGGTGGTTAAACTTAACCACACAGCTCCCAAAAGTGGAGGGAACGTCAGACGTTCACCTCCAATTCAAACAAGTGAAATACGTTCCGTTCCAGGAACGTAGTTTTGGGGTGATACAACAACCACACCCAGCTATTTCTTTTCCTGAACTTTACATTTGTTTTCTTTTCCATTCCCTAGTGTAAAATTTAATTCCTTTTTGAAATAGAAAAATCATTTTTGTTCAAACTGTTTCGAGCATACATTTCAGTTATAGTATTGTGGCTGTAAAATTTGAATATCCAATGGCATGAAACACAAAGTCAATAAATAATCATTCTTATTCTTATTCTGAATGCTTGAAATAGGAAAAGAGAAGTGAATTTAATCTTCAGATTTTTGTGGAATGCTGATCTGTGTGAGCTAAAACTGGTGAGGAACGAAAAAGCCATACACTTACTCATGAGAGCGTTCCTAAGGTGTCACCATGAAGAAACTTCTAAACTTGCCTTGATGATGTAAGTATTGCTGAAGAATATGTGAACTCCACTAACAAGGATCAATCTGCAAACACTGACCCCCTCACAATCAAACAAACACTTCCATTTCCATTCATACTTCAACTCCACCATACACACCCATACACACCACCAAGTCAAGGAAAAAGGAAAAGGAGCCAATCTAAAATGAGCAAAAAAGGGCAAGAAAATAGGAAACAAAGAAAAAAGGGAACAACCATTCAAAAGAATTCAGAAGAAAAATGCCAGGCAATCTCCCTTCAAGAGACGGAAAGAAGGTACAAAAGATAAGGTGTTCCTTCAAACATAAAAGTCCAGCTCTGAGACAAACAAACAGAAAAACGTTCCTTGCTCCAAGACCTGTGACCACTCCATTTTAAAAACCCTTCCATCAGTCCTTTTACAAAGATCCTTGGAAATGAAAGACACCTGCACTGCTTAGGAAAGCAGCAGATAAGCAAGTTTGAAGAATCACATCCAAGAATGGACAGAGAAACACCAAGCCCTGAGTGATAGTGATATAGAAGATCAGCAATCTTCACTTACCTTGGAACAAATTCTTTCTACTTATCACCTATGGAAAGTAGTTCGATCTTTTAAAAGATCAAGGTTACTCATTGGTTCAAGTTTCTGATGTTGAGCTATTCTTTGAAATTGAGCAGCCTAAGCCACTATTTCTGAGTTGTTTGAGGACAACCAACAGTTTAGTTTTGGGGTGTTTGATGGGACGAGATTTTGTTCCCATCTAAGCTCATTTTGATGGCAAAATACCATCTGTTCCCTCATCTGACGAGCAACTTTGGCACTAAAAACACATGTCTTATATTTTTTTCTACAAAAACACAGTGGGGAACGGATGATGACGTAATCTTTTGAAAAATAGATAAAGGGGAACGGATTTGGAACGTTAAATACACCTGCTTCACTTACTCAATCTCTCTGACCACTTTTCAGGAAACGTTGAAAAGAAGTTTCCAATTAAGCACAAGTGGAGCAGCAATAAAGCAAGGAGAAACATGCACAGCAGGGAATATACGGTTCCTATTGGCTAAGAGGAAAGCAAGGCATGAGGGAGATAAAAAGGAAAGACAAATCTCAACAATAACTGTCCCATCCAGCCACTTGTGCCACTCAAAGCACTGTTCACACCGCCCCTTTCGTGCAGTCAAGAAAACAACTCCAAGAGAATTACCCACTTTTCCATTCACTCTTCTGCCTATAAATAGGACATTCCAGCACGAAGAAAATC